AGAGTCGTCCCAACGCCGGGACCAGGCGGGACAGAGCCAGGGAAAGTAAGATCCGACGGGGACACCACGCTCTAAAGGCTCCCACGAGGACTGGATCCCCTGGCTCTGCCCCTGGTGGACAGAGCTGCTCTGCCCCTGGTGGACAGACTCCTCCTCCTCTGAGTCGCCCTGGGAGACGCGACGGGGGCTGCAGCCCTGCCGAGCCGCCCAATCCTGAGCTGATCACTTTTAATAAAGGCATTAAAAAGGAGAAGAAGTCTCCTGGCCCTGTTTATTTCAGATAAGGTCTTTTATTAGTGAGGTAGGGTGTTAACAAGGTCCCAGTGCAACAGCCACTCCCACAAACAGCTTTACTTGTGGTAGGAGAAGACAGCAGGAGACAGAGCCTCACAGTGCTGGGAATTCTCCCTACAGCAACCACAGCCTGTCTCCCCTCTGATGCCGAGAGAGCCAGGAGCTGTGCTCAGCCCCTTCCCCCGCCCAAATCTCCCGGTATCTCTGCCCCCTCTAGAGAAACCCCTCACCTAAGAGAGTAGCCAGCCCTACCCTTCCCCTGCACCGTGGCAACTTCTTTTTTCGCTTTAAGTACCAGTCAGTTTTGTCTCCTAGCAACATATGGGAAAAAAATTCCCTGAGAGAAAGCAAACAAAAGGAGCAATCTTAACCTCCAACAATTTGTTACACAAGAGAGTCTCAGAGCCAACAGGCACGCGTGCAGAGGTGAAACTGCAAAGCTGGCTCATGGACCCCCGTTCCCCAAATCACAGTCTCCTTGCTGTGCCCATCTTCCTCTTGGCCCCTTACCTGCTGGATCAGAGGAGCAAAAACTCCTTCCTGTCTCGCACATTTTGCTTGACAGTGGCAGAGCAAGAGAAGTTGAAGTTCACCTGCAGCAGCCCATGGAGAACCACCTTTCCCTGTGTGCTCACTATGTGTGACTTCAAATCCACTGAAGTCACACATAGTGCTCACACAAGGAAAGGTGGCTCCCGTGGTCCCCTGCACAGTGGCCTCAGGGCTGCCAGCTGTGGCTGTGCTGCCTCCCAGCTCTCTGCAGTTCACCCTGTGTGGATTCTCCATGAAAGGAACGAGAAGAAGGTGGGATTACAAAAATCCTGTGTGCCTGATGGTAGTAGATAAGGCTAGATACAGAAAGGTGAAAGAAGCAGTGGGGAGAACCATAAATAACATAGGAATTCCACTATTTGACACAGACTGTTACTCACCCAAGACTGTGCTACATCTCTGGATTTAGAGAGAAAGAACAGAGACACGAGGAAAAAGAAAAATGGGGAGGGAGTACATTAGAAGGGAGTATTAAGCATTTTGGGAAGTCTGTACCTCTCAAGTACCTCAGCCAATGGGGAAAGAGAGAAGGGAAATGTGGCTGGGAAATTAGGATAAAAAGGAGGCTGCGTCCTCTAACAATTTTAAGAGACCTCACAGGGAATGCCCCATGGCCTCTGCCTTTATTCGCATACTGTGAAAGGACTCCTCTTTCTCCTTTTTGGACATAAACCTCTGGTGTTTGTAGATTCATTTTTCTGATATCTTTGTGAAAACCACCAATCACTTGTTTTTAAAATTTTAAAAGTTTAAAAGTAATAAAATGGTTATAAAGATAGTAATAATATTATAGTAATAAAATTTTTGGCAAGCAGGATTAGGACAATACAAGACAATAAAAACAAAGAGTTATGGACAATCTGGGTACCTCTTTCTGGGCAGCACAAGCCCAAAAAAGGACCCCTGTTAACAGAGGATTAACCCTTAAAAGCAACAGCCTGTTGCATATTCATAC